AAACCCCTAAACCCCTAAACCATTACATGCATCTGTGCGGGCACTGCGTGGCATCTTCAGCCCGAGGCACCGCATCGTCGTGATGCACGTTGAGCCTCGGTGGGGCAGCGGCACTGCAGGTGGCAGCACTATATACTATACTGTGGTCTATTATATAATATAGCATACTATAGTATATCATGTTATAGTATGTTTTTTATATATAATGTTGTGGTATATTAAAGTATACTATGGTATATTATGGTATCTTATGGTATCTTATAGTAAGTTATAGTATGTTATAGTATGTTATGTACATCGTAGCAACGTCAGGCAGGGAAAGGCCTAGCTCCAAGTACTCAGGATCTGACGCCTTTCGGTCCCTAAAACCCTAAACCCTAAACCCCCAAACCTGAAACCGTTAGGGTTTAGGGTTTAGGGTTTAGGGTTTAGGGTTTAGGGTTTAGGGACCCTAAACCCCTAAACCCTAAAACCGAAAACCCTGAGTCCTGAAGCCAGACGCGGCATCCAAGAACAACAGTAGTAGTACTAATGCTAATCACAAGTAGCAAATAGAAAAAATAACAAAATCGGTATGATCCAATAATACAAAACTAATAGTAGTAATAGTAATAGTAATAGTACTAGCAATACCTTAGTACTAAACAATATTAGTATGATCCCGACACTTAAAAAAAAAGGCTGCCGGGAGGCAGAGGGATGTCCCGAAAGCGTTCCCAGCTTTCCTGCTCCATCCTCCTCCACTTAAAGGATCATGGGACTTAGTACCTAGGATTATAAATAAGGCAACTATATTTATAATTACTTATAACCCCAATTAAGGTACTTGTAACCTTACTTACTAAGTCCCATGATCCTCCAAGCAGACATCCCAGCTTTCAGCTCGTGGCAGCTTCGGGATTTCGGAGCCTTTTTTTTAAGGGTTTAAGGCTTCAAGAATTTAATTTTAAGGTTTAGGGATTGGGACTTCGGTCTTTTTTTGCAAAGCGTCGTTCGGGTTTAGGGTTTAGGGGAAAGTGCGACTCCGGACTTCGGGCCGTAGCTTTAGGCGTTTGCTGGAGGACCTGGCGGCGATCCTGTAGCCGCAAGCCCTTGAACTGAAGCCCTAAAAGCCTAAACCCAGGGTCCATTAAAGCCCCGAAAAACCCCCTAAACCCCTCAGATATCCGTACATCCCGTGAAGCCTGAAAACCCCAAAAGCCCGTCGGCCCTCTGAATTCATGAAATCCCCTACATCCCTCTCCTCGCTGCTTGCATGATGGCATCCATCATCAGCTGCAAGCCAGGGCTCCTTTTAGGTTCCTCTTCTCATTTTAAATGCCGGTAGGTAGGAGTCGCTTTCAACTTTTGGCTCTTGTCTTAAGCTCAAGGATTGAAAGTTCAGCGTGGTGGTGGTGGCGGTGGTGGTGGTTGTTGTGGTAGTTGTGTTTGTTGTTGTTGCTGCTGTTGTTGTTGCGCGATGGTAATACAAGTTGTCATGGCTGACGTCGTAGTCATCGTAGTCGTCGTAGTTGTCGTGGTTGTCGGAGTCGTCGTAGTCGTCGTGGTTGTCGGAGTCGTCGTAGTCGTCGTAGTCGCCGCAGTCGTCGTAGTCGTCGTAATCACCGTCGCCGGCATAGTAGCCAGTCAGAGTCGTCATAGTTGTCATAAGCGCCAAAGTCTGTGCAGTTGTCGGCGTCGTGGTCACCGCCGCCACCCTGATCATGGCCCTCACGGCGGCCATGATCAAGGCTGTGGCTTTGCGACTGCAACTTGAGAATGCCGAATGCCGCCCTCGCTGGTCCCCAAAGCAACTTGCTCATGTGTGACCGACTCCAGGAAATGAAGGGCTGGTTTTATATGAACTTCTTCCCAAGACTTGCACCCTTCACCCAGCATGGTCGGGAGATGGAAACGAGATGACGTGCTCCGACGACTGAAGGGCTTCGTCGCCGGACGCGTTGCTATTCGCTTGAAGAATTGAATCAGCTGGAAGTTTCAAAAAAACTCTGGAGCAAATCAGGCCTTCAAGTTCCCAGGCTCGAGAGCTAAAATTGAGTTCCGGTGTAGGGCATTGCGGGCTTGAGGAGCAATGATACTGTCTGACCCGACACCTTGAAGCTTGCACAAGGGCCGTCTTTATGTCACGCAGATGGGTGGTTGTCAAAATTATGGTCCCTTTTTGGGTCCTTATTATAATACGGCACCTATTATTTAGGGTACCCCAAAAGGGACCATAATTTTGACAACTACCCAGATGCGATTTGCAAAGAGAGAACGTAGTGAGGCTGGGCTTCTCGCAAAGATCTCAAACACTTGGGCTGAAACCCAGACCGGGAACCGGTTAATGTAGGGGCCAAAAAATTTGGGGCCATCCGCCTTAGAAGCCTCAGGGCGCTAAGTGTCTGCCGAGCCGCTTGGCTATGCAGGAATCGTAGGCGTCCTACATCTGAGATGACCGCCGACGGCCGGAGTGGGGGGTTTGAGCTGTTTCGGGATTCCGGTGTAGGCTTTAGGGGTCCGGGGTTTCGGGGTCTGGGGCTTCCGTTTAGGGTCGAGGCAGCCCCGGGAATCTAGTTCCTGGTTCTCGTCCTGACTTTCGGTTTAGGATTCAAAAATAAGGTAGCTGTCAATCGTGATTGTGGGGTTCAATTTTGTGCAGACCCTCACCCTCCCCCCCTGTGTGGCAAGACGAGCCTGCACCATCGCCGGTGCATCGAAGGCGACGTCCGCAAGTCCAAGGGGAGTCCCCGACTCCTTCAGCGTTGGGGATGGGATTTGGGACGCTGCTGTGGAAGAGGACAGAAATCTAGCGAGTGCGAACATGATAGCGAGGCCCCCCAAGGGGGAGAGCGAGCGAGAGAGCACGCCAGTCACACACTCCCCTAAACCCTAAACCCTAAACCCTAAACCTTAAACCCTAAACCCTAAACCCTAAACCATCCCTGTGGCCGAAACTTGGCACCCGAATCCTGCAAGCGCGCCGCCACCTGCTGCCTGGAGAGGGGGGGCTCATGAGCTTGGAGCACTGGTGGAATGGAATATGGGTTTAGGGTTTAGGGTTTAGGGTTTTGGGTTTAGGGTTTAGGGTTTAGGGTTTTGGGTTGTGGGTTTTGGGTTTTGGGTTTAGGGTTTAGGGTTTAGGGTTTAGGGCTCAGGGAGACTGATTCCTTTTGATAGGGCTTTTTGGGGGGGAATCGTTCTAGTAGGAACCGTTAACTGAAGCTGAATCTGACTTCGGTTCGCAAAATCACAGCTGGCGCTCAACATCAGCATAGCTTGTACACGACGGGATGAACGAAAACCGGACTCTCAACACACCTAGACTTAACCTCCCAAGAGCCCCATATCCTCTGCCACGAGGACTTACATTGCATCGTCGCTTTCTGGTGAACGCGATCCAAGACTTGGTAGAGATGCTTCTCTTCAATGGACCACTTGGCATCGATGGCATCGTTTCCGTCCTGTCAAGCATTTTCGAGCTCGATCATGCATGTTTCCACTACCAGTTCACGTCCACGCGAGTTGAATCTTGTAACTCGGCTTGCAAAACACCGGATTTCAGATTGTAGGCTCTGTTTTCAATGCCCTAGACCCTAAACCCTAAACTCGGCAACCCGAAACCCTAAACCCTAAACCCGGTAAACCCGGTAACCCTAAACCCTAAACTCTAAGAGCGGTCCTCGATGGGTTCGGCGTCCTCGTCCGGCGGAAGAGTTGGGCCCTTCGACTTCGCCTGGAGGGCACAAAAGCAAGATTTCATTCAAACATTAGAATGTACGGTTTAGGGTCTCTTACTAAGGTTTAGGGCTTAGGGCTTTATGGTGCAGCAGCTTCTTATTAAGGTTCTGGGTTTAGAGTTTACGGTTTAGGGTGTCTTACTAAGGTTTAGGGTTTAGGGCTTACGTTGTAGCAGTTTCTTATTAAGGCTCAGGGTTTAGAGTTTACGGTTAACGATGTCTTACGAAGGTTTAGGGTGTAGGGCTTACGGTGCAGCAGTTTCTTATTGAGGTTCAGGGTTTAGAGTTTGCGGTTTATGGCTTCTTACTAAGGTTTAGGGTTTAGGGCTTACGGCCTAGGGTTTCTTAGTAAGGTTTAGGGTTTAGACTTACGGTTTAGGGTGTCTTACTAAGGTTTAGGGTTTTGGATTTACGGTTTAGGATTTCTTGCTAAGGTTTAGGGTTTTGGGTTGGTTGTTAAGGTTTAGGGTTGAGGATTCAGGAGTCAATGTCTGAAGCTCCTTCCTCCGGGTCGTCTTCAACCCTAAACACCCTGAATCCCGGCCTTGGAGGTCATGCCCAAGGAGGCGCTATCTTCCTTTGAAGACTCTGCTTGGGGTGCAGGGTCTCAGGTTTAGGGTTCAGGTTTTAGGGTTTAAAGGAGTGCAGGGTCTGAGGTGTACCGGCTGAGAGGCTTACGGGTTAGGGGCGCAGGGCTTAGCTCGACTGTCCCAGTCGGGTGCTGCGCTGTTTCGGGTTTGTTGGGGGTGGGAAATTTGCAGACTTCGGTCTCCAGGTTGGTTAGGGCTTTTTGTTGTTCAACCCTCAGCCGGGTTTAGGGTTTAGAGTTTAGGGCTTAGGGTTAGGGCTTAGGGTTTGGGGTTCGGGGGTTTGGGTTTAGGGCTTAGGGTTTGGGGTTCGGGGGTTAGGGTTTAGGGTTTAGGGTTTGGGGTTTAACACTGTGGTGCGGACGCCAAGCTGGTCCTGAACTGCTCATTGCCGTGAGGTCTGGCATAGGCTGTAGGGCCTTGAGGGTTTAGGGCTTAGGGTGTAGGGTTTAGGGTTTTAGGGTTTTAGGGTTTAGGGTTTAGGGTTTAGGGTTTAGGAGGCTCAGGAGCTTTTCGGGAGTGGAATGTCCTTCACGGACACGCACTTTGATTACTGAACAAGGTTTGTTTCTGTTTGACGGACTCGTTTCTCAATGCACAACCGCCTAAAGGTGCCTACAAAACACGGTAGCATCGCCCGCATACGTTAACCGTCCCTTCTAGCACCAACCAACATGCATCTAGACATGGAACAATGTAACACTAAAGGGCAAACAGGAAGCTAAGCACGACACATGAATCAAAGGCAGGATATACTGATATACGATTTCCAATTTGGTGTCTATGCGAATGCTACACGAAAGTCCCTCATCTGCGAAAGCTGATCCAAGTTTGAACCGTCTTCCCGGATTCATCCCAGACCCTGCACACCAGGCAGAGGGGCTCGCTGCCCTCATCGCCTCCCACCAAATGAATCGCAGACACTACGGCGCAGAGTTCACGGACTTCTTGTAGCCACTTTTCCGAACTTAGACTTGGGGTCCTGGGGCTAGAGGTGGAATGATCGAGGCTTTGCGCTTCTCCCCATCTGAACCAAGAAGTGCTGCAGGGAGTCGCATGTTACCCAGTCAGAGAAGTACCACTGGACCCGAGACCATTATGGCTTGGGGTTTAAAGCACCGCGCGGCACGAGCACTCCAGTGATTTCTCCGTACATGAATGAAGAGAACAGCACAAAGTCAGCTGGAAGCATCCGCTCGTTCGACTCTTTGCCTGTCGCGAGCTTACGCCAATCAGTTTAGGGTTTAGGGCCTAGGGATTAGGGTTTAGGGTTGCATACACACCGTCTCTTCAAAGCTGGGTCAGCCGTCTCGCCATTGCCTGAGCAGAGAAGGATGGCACGGAAGTTGAGCTCTGCCACGATGCACAGTTAATGTCGTTCAGACTTGCGGGCATGGGCAAAGCCAAAGATGGTGCTGTTGACTCGCACATACTCATAGTCACAGAGAGGCATAGACTTGATTACAATGACAACTAAGAAGTTCTCAGAGCTTTCAACAGGAATGAAACGAGATTCGGGGTCTGTGGGGCTTGGGGTTTGCATGTCGTTTAGCCTCCTGACCGGGAACCCAAAAATATTGTTCAACTATGGAAAATACTTGAATATTGCTGGAGTCTTGGCGGATCTTGATGTCGGAAGGAGGGTATGCAGCGTCCTAGCCTCTGGACCCCCATCCTGAAGCCAAGCTGAAGGCGATTTTTTGGCTCGTAAGCAGCTTGGAATGAGTTGCGGCACCAGCTCAAAAACGCACTGACTCCTGAAGAAAGCATGCATCAGAAGCCAGGAATCTTCATGAGAGCTATAGTCTAGGCTCCTACTATATCCCTACATAATCCCCATATGACTTAACTCCCCCTTTCAGGAGCTTAAGCTATAGCTCATGGGGAGCAGGAAGATCTGTAGCTTCTGTCTTGCAGGACTGGTGCCATGCAAGCCAGTAGCAGCTCACTTAAAATCCACCTTCATCATTTCTGCATTGCGCTCGGCGTCCCATGCCTCTTTCACTGTTGGATGATACTTAGCGGCCTGTGTCATCAGCATAGGGTGTCGGTATATCTGATACTATACTACTTCTACTATAGGGAGTCCAAGAGAATGGACATACCCATGGGACTTCACCCTAAACCCTAAACCCTAAACCCTAAACCCGGAGTCAGCCTTAAGAGCATCACACAAAGAAGGTGATGAAGTCCAGGATCGCATCCACCGTGTCGTTCAGGACAGCCTCTCCTCCAGGGCTGCTGCTATGGTATGGTCGTGTTCTGGTAATCTAACTACTTTTGTGTGTTATGATATTATAACTACTATAGTCTTATAGAGTCTTATAACATAATCTCATAGAAGGTCATTGTACTCTAAGTCTAGCATGGTAGTACTACCGGATCATAGCACTGCCTCATCAAGGTACTATGGTCCTGCACTGAGGAATATTGCAATTGCAGTGGTTTGTGTTGCAGTGCTAGTGTAGGTTAAAAGCCTAGTTGCCCAATATGATGACTGTTTAGCAGGGATCCTGCATCGTACTAACAAGTCTTATGGAACACATCTTGGGTCATTCGCCCTGTCACTACCACTGGGGCTGATTTGGGGGCTCCAAGGAAATTAAAAAATCCATGGCTTGGTTTGGACATGCACTTGATACGTGTTAATAAGACTTGCACATCAGTCCTCAAGCGAAAGCTACTCAAGGCTTGAATTCTGCGCAAGGCGGAATGGCCCCAGATACATCACTTGTAAACCCCAAGCCCTTGAAACCCCTCAAAAAAAACCCACAACCCCTAAACCCCCCAAAAAATCCTAAGCCCAAAAAAGCAACCATCCCCCACAGCCAGGTCATGGCTCCATCTTGCTGGTTCTCCAACTTCAGAAGAGGCAGCTTGACAGCGAAGAGGGAGTCAAGGATCTCCTGTGCTCTTGGGGCTTCCCTGTGTCCAGGATCCGTAGCCTCGGGATTGAGGTTTTGGGGCTTAGGGGTTTAGAGTGTAGGGTTTACGGTTTAGGGCTTAGGGTTGGCAAGAAATATCTACCAAGCCTCTTTGCAAGAGACCCAGAGACCCCCCAGAACAGGCCAACTCCTGACTAGGAGCTATCAACTCCTGACTAGGAGCTATCAAGCCTTACTACTTACTACTTATTACGTTTTGAGGCGTCCGGGCTGAGGGTAATCACGGACCGCGCCCCCCTGAAGAACCAGGAAAATTATCATGAGAAATTGACTCCAGCTTACTAAGTAGCTCCTCCAGCTTCTCGCCAGTAGCCTTCGAGAGCTTCGCGGCATCCGCTTCCTCATCTTGGAAGCTCAACACGGAAGTTTGGAAACTGGCCCTCCGCCTCACCATGGTCGCCGCGTCGGTCTTCAGCAGCACCATGAGTACAATCCCTGTCTCTTGCTCTTGTCCAATGGCATCGACTGCACGCTTTAGCAAGTGCTCTTGCTGCTCGGGATGTCGAGTGAGCGCCCATGCAAAATTCCCCAAGTGCCATGTCTCCACCACCCTTGAGGTCGCAGTGCTCCTCCGCTCCTGATCCCGGGCAACTTCGGCCTGGTGAATCGTATCGTCCCAGGCCTTGTGGTAGTGGCCCTTCTCCTCTTCCTCTCCTCTCAAGGAAGCGCCCAACTCCTCGTCAGATCTCCAGTGGAGCCTCTCCGCCAAGCGATTTCTGACCGTCGTCTTCCCTGAAGTGTGCGGACCCATTAGGACCACTGTAACCTTTCGAAACCTAGGCTGCTTTGGAGCCATCACCACGGGCTTCGGGGAGAAGGGCAGCACGGCCTTGGGGCCCTCCCAGCGCCTGGAGGCCCAACGCTGCCACTCACATCGGCGAGTCCCACCCGGGGCCGGCGGATGCCCGATGAGAACCTCCATCCTCTGGGGAATGAAGATGTAAGCAGTGGAGGGTCCTTCTCGGGTATCATCCTCTCGAGTTCCCAAAACCGCCTCCTGGTCGGATAAGGCCATCCGTCGTTCCGCAGGCCCCTGCTGCCAAAGCTCCCTGCATCTTTCCATGGCGCAGGCTAGGCTGAAAGGTGGCGCTGGGGAGCCCCATCTCATCTTCCTAACCACACCCTCGCCCCTCCACTGCTGCTGGAAGGGGTAGCTGCCAAGCAGCAGCACCATGGAAGCAGGGACCTCCTCACCTGCCTGGCCAGCTGCCCCACCAGCACTGCCCAAACTGAAGAAAATGAATCCAGTCTCCGTCACAGAGTGTATCCCCAGGTTCCGCACTGAGGGGGGCCCGCCAGGTGAACAGGATGGAGTGGCGAGCTGGAAAGACCACGGAACATGTTTCCCTCTCCTCCCCAGCTGCCATTTCTTGTCCCCGGAGATGTCCCGCAAGAGCCCCTCCTTCCTGGCAGCGTTCACCAAACAGCGAAGAGGATCTGCACCCAGCAACGACTCCAAGTCGACGGTGGAAGGGAACATAGCCTTGTTGATCTCGCACTTGACCACGTCGAGGATTTCACCATCACTGAGGCCATTCACACTCAGACTGATTTGGTCAACCTCAAGCTTTTGCAAGGACCTGGACACCTTGGCAAGCTTGGGGGAGCTTGCCGCAGGATCCCGGACCACAACGAGCTGCAGTCTGGGCTTCGGCAAGCCAGGCGGCCACACCATGCTCTCACCGGATGCCCCAAGACGACAGGACAAGACGGAGGAACAGAAGTTGTAGATGATGAACACGAGGGGCGTACGCTCGGCCGCACAGATGTCCTTGCACTCCTGCACAACCATGTAGTTGGACACCACGTCGAATGCTGTTGCTACCGCCCCTCCAACCTGGTCGAAGATGCCTTTGACGATGCTCAGAGACGCCGGTTGAGCGCATGCCACACGCACTGAGGACTGGGAGACCATGTCCCCCAAATCCTGGCCGACTGTCTTGCCAAGAATGCCTTCCACACTCACGATGATGGGCTTGTACCACGGGCTATTCACCTCGCAAGAATTCTGCAGGTTCCGCAAC